GAGTAAAGTTTGGGAAACATTGAAGAAGGGAGTAAATTGGATATTTAAGAATAAAGAAGCAATTAGTGACGTTGCTGAATCAATAACACCAAAAGCTGCCCCAATAAGAGAAGTTTTAAATAAAGGAGAAAAAGTTTATCAAAGACTACAACCGATACTAAGATAAAAATAATTTTAAGCCGCTAAGACGTGAGATGATCCATAGGATCTCATATTATTTTTCCACTATCTACCTCCTATTTTATTAAGTATTCCTTCAGCTATTCCACCAATTGCGTTACCTGCTTGTGCTCCCATCGCCGGATTACCCGCTTTAGTACCTAATACTCCACCTATGATAGTTCCTGCCGTTTTCGCTACTGGTGCCAAAAAGTTTGCAATGGGTTTAATAATCTTTTTATGAACCCAACCCGCAGCTTTCTTAATTCCATCCCATAATTTTTTAAAGAATCCTGCCGCCATTTCTGATTTAATATTAATTAAAAAAATATATTTCATCACTTATATTCTAATTTTTATTTAATGATAAATGAAACCGATTTTAAAAATAAATGAAACAGAGGAGGAAGAAATAAATGAAAGTGAAAATGTTCAACAAAAAATAAACGTTGTTAAACCAATTACTGAAATAAAAATTTTTTCATCTGTTGAAGAATTTAATGACTATTATGCTAATAATAAAAAATTATTTGAAGAATTGACAACGTGTAAATTGAATAAAATGTTTAAAGTTGATGGATTCAAAATTTCAAAAATAAAAGGAGTGATTAGTTTGAAATCTATTCCTCAATCAAGAATCACCTCATTAATGAAAATTGATGATTTAACAAAAAGAATAGAAGAGATTGAAGAAAGAATGAATCAAATAATTGATTTCATAAATTCAAATAATCATTAGTTTCTTAAAGTTCTATGTTGAACTCATCAAATTCTTCTTCATCATTACCATTACCTTTAGCGAGTTTATTTACTCTTTCAACTTTATCTTTTGATAGTCTTTCGTTTAATTTTTTCTGAAGTTTTTCGTTACCAAGTTCTAAAATTTTACATGGATGATATTTAAACCCGTTAAATTCTTTTTCCTCAGTTTTAATCATTAATCTACAAAGAACTTTAGTGAGGTGGTTTTGTTGTTTAAACCATTTATCCTTAATATTTGTTATAAATTCAATATCCGGAATTAATTCCCAAATTTTTGAATTTTCGATTAATTTACCATCAAATGCAAAAGCAATAGGTTTAATATTAAACTTACCTTTATAAAATAAACTTTGTACGCAATCATCAAAATAAACGTCTACTTGTTTAACCTGGGTGAGAATTGGTGAAAGTTTATTCATTAATTGATTCACAGTCACGAATTTTGATTCACTCATTTCTTACGAATTAAAAAAATAAATTATTCAAAAATGTAAGACATGAATTTTTAAAGTTTATTTTTTATTCATGAAAATAATTATTTCTAATTTCTTTTACTCTCTCGTATATACTAGATTTAAAGAATTCAGAACATTTCCCATAATCTCCTAAATGTTTTCTTATCTTATTGGTTTTCCATTCATTATATGAAACTGTATAAACTTTATCTTTATCTTTGCATCTTTCATCACTTCCAATATATTTATATTTCAATTTTGATTTATTGGTTTCATATTCATTAACGTTTAATAATTCACAGTTTTCCTTTTTAAATAAATGTTTTATGTATTCAGGATTAACAATTCTATAATATTGCTTCCCTTTAAATCTTTGAATATAAACAGGAACACCATCCTCTAAAATTCGATAATCTATTTTATCTGGTTTTACTTGTTGGGTCATTTATGTAAGAATAAAAAAATAAATTATTTTAAAAATAACTTTAATTTTTTTAATGGTTTATTTTTTAAAAAAAAATTTATTTTTTATTTCATTATGTATGGGCTGAGTGTAAATGTCTTACAATTTTGAAAATTTTTTAAATCTTGATTTATTCAAAAACGTAAGAATAAAAACCGTAAGAATCAAACATTTTTTACTTCATATGTTAAAAAAAATGATACAAAATCGCTCGATATTGTATGAATTCTTACGTTTACAAAAAAAAGTCACAAAACCCATCATATCCTACTACTTTAATCAGATTATTATTTTTAATGTTTTAACATGTGACATTTTTAATACATTACATAGCTGAAAATATTGTCTCATTACGAAGTTTTAAATTAGAGTTTATATTCAGTATTTTCATTTCTTCTAACATAAAAATAGTACAATGTCATATAAATCTGAACATCATTTATTTTTATACGTTAGAATTACCGTACTTAATAGTAAAAGCTCCAGAAGGCTCAATGAATCATTAATCAATCAAGAATAAATTCACATAAGTTACATTTGACAGCAAATTTGAAATACATATAGCTATTATGCAAGAAAAACATTTACAAAGCAACAAATTCATTAGGGAAGATTGGGAGATTAATTGATTCTAACAAAACCTCAATTGAAATGGTATTCAATGGTTGCGGAATTCAGATCAATGATATCTTTATCTTTTATTAGAAAATATGAAAATTAGAAATTCGATTGTCTTAGGCGACGTTTGCCAATGTTAATAAGGTGTGGAAATTGTAAAAATTTATTAACTTAGTCAATATTTATAATTGGAAAAGGTACATTCACTATTTTTGACAAAATTTTAAATTTTCATGGGGTTGTAAATCTTATAATAACTAGATGAATAAGGAATGAATCCCAGTATAATGTGCATCATTATATTAAACACTATATGTAAGGCTAATGATTCTATTAACACTTATGAAGATCTATAGTATTTGAGCAGATAAATTTGATAATTTCCAAAACTCTTATATTTCAAAATTAAAGTGTGCGAATGCATTTAAATGAGAGCAAAAGGAGATTGATGCTGTTAAAACTAGGTGTTAATTTGCAATTATTTCGCATCACAAGAACTACCCAGTAAATTCGGCTATCTTTCTTTGCAATTATTCTCCATTATACATATAATATAATGGTTAGGGTTTGAAGAAAAGTTACTAGAGAATTATTGACTTTTGAAATAATGCAGAATTTTACTTGAAGAAATCATTAATTTATGAGTTCCAAATTGCTAAGCATGACGAAGGATCATTAAATTTGCTACAATTAAATACACTTATTGCAGAATTAAGATTTTTGAAATTAAAAGTTTGAAATATTGCCTTTTTGAATAAAAATTTAAATTTTATTATATAATCATGATAATATCTTATAGAAATTAAAAGAAAATATTTTAAACCATTCAAATATTTTGAATGTCTTATCAATTTAAAATATTAAAAGATAGCTTGATTTTATCATCATTAGTTGTTATCAAAGTTTTCTTCTTTTGATGAACAACAGTAAATGATTTGTTAATTACTTGTCTTCCTTTTTCGCAGCAAAATCGAAAGTTATGATGATAATCTTGCTGTCAATTTTGAAACTCTCTGATTTACAAGTAAGCATTCCTTTGGAAAAGCAGTCCTATTCTGTTTTCAAGATATTTTAAAGCCTCCATTTCATACAATGCGCAGATCTATTCGAAATTGCAAGAACTCTCAAGAAAAATGCAGCAGCAAAGAAGATTCCATAGTTTCTAGCATCAAAAATTTACAACCTTAATACAACAGTTAAAGAGAAGCTCGAAAAGAAAATATTTAACCATAAAGCTGGAAACCATTCGATATCTACTATTGGATCTAATAAAAAGTTAATTATAACATATTTAACATGCTATTTGTTGACTTTGTTCCATTATATTACCATATATATCTTTTTGAAATCTAAAATATTTTTACGATTTTAACCATGTGTTGTTGAAACCATATATCAATCTTAGCTAAAGTATAGTTTATGAGTATGTCACCATCTAACGTATGAATTTTCAAAAATGTCAAATATGTTCATTTTTTCTGTAGATTCAGCCATAATTTCACGTTGTTATACTATTCAACTATTATATAATATTTTTATCGATTTAAATATATGATGAGATGCTTAGTTCTCCTGGAAATCGATTTTTAATCGCAATTTTAACTTTCCAAAAAAAATTCAAAAATAAAAATCCCTCTCAATTTTCTAAGTTTTATAACTAGCCAAATCTCTAGCCAAATTTTTTTGGCCCGTATAAATATTGTAGGGATGCGTTAAACACGCCATTTGACCAGGCGTACATTTTTTTTGTTCGCCCAAAAATTTCGCCATTTGAGAAATTCAAAAATTAAAAATAAAATTTTAATCTTGATTTTTTTATTTTCGTGATTTTTTTGAAACTTACATAAGCGATGAAATACTTTTTTTAAGTAATCGTTTATTATATATAAATATATCTTAATAAATTTAATTCCTTAAGGTAGAGCGTGTTCAAATTTAAAATCTCATACAATATTTTCTTAATGGCGTATTTTTCTGAGGTCGCCCAAATAAAGGCGAATTCAAAATTGAGAACTCCAAGGCGTATGGCGAGTATTCAAAAAGTACGCCACTTACAAAATATTGAATGTGGATTATCAATTTTTTGGCGTGTTCAATTTCAAATTTTGATATTTATGTTTATTTTATTCAGTATAATGCTAAGAATTAAAATATAAAATTCATAGAATTTTTTCTTTGAAAATATTTTACATTTTTTCTTCGACCACTCCTAGACTAGTCATCAGGTTATCCTCAGATCATCCTCAGACTACTCCTTATCAGATTACTCATCATCCTCAGACTACTCCTTAGACCCCTCCTCATCAGACTACTCCTCAGATCTTCCTCATAAGACTCCTCCTCAGATCTTCCTCCTGAGACTACTCTTCAGACTACTCCTTAGAGTCCTCCTCATCAGACTAGTCCTGAGACTAGTCCTCAGACTACTCCTGAAACTACTCCTCAGATTATCCTCAAACTACTCCTCAGTCTAATCCTCAGACTCCTCCTCAGATTATCCTCAAACTACTCCTCGGTCTAATCCTCAGACTCCTCCTCAGATTATGCTCAGATTATCCTCAAACTCCTCCTCAGATTATCCTCAAACTCCTCAGTCTAATCCTCAAACTCCTCCTCAGATTATCCTCAAACTCCTCAAACTCCTCCTCAAACTACTCCTCGGTCTAATCCTCAGACTCCTCCTCAGATTATCCTCAAACTCCTCCTCAGATTATCCTCAGACTCCTCCTCAGATTATCCTCAGACTCCTCCTCAGATTATCATCAAACTCCTCAAACTACTCCTCGGTCTAATCCTCAGACTCCTCCTCAGATTATCCTCAGATTATCACTTTACATATATATATCGATAACTAAATAATTACTTATTATACTTTCTTTATTTTTTTTTAATTTTAAAATAATATTAATATATCTTTCTACGTTTAATGATGAAAAGAGAAAGAGGAGTAAAAAGAGGAAAGAGAAAAGAAAGAGAGAAAGAGAGAAAAAAAAGAGAAAGAAAGAAAAAAAAGGACGGCGATAATTTTGTATTGTTTTGTTATTCGGCCGAATGGCGGGTACGAAGTACCCGCCATTCGGCCCCAAAAATGGCGTATTATTCTATTTTTAAACGGTCATGGCGTAAAACCGTCGCATCCCTAAAATATTGTTAGGCACTATATAGGGATGCTATTTATCTTATTTTCATCCCATTTTACTGTTATCGCCTAGTGAATGTACCTTTTAATTGGAATAATAATCCCATATAAAATTTTTAATTCTCAATTTGGCATAATAAATTCGATTTTCTTGAAATAATCCAGGAGGTGTGGGCGTATATTTCATTATATTATCCGTTTTCATTAGGAAAATTTGTGAATAACCAAAATAAAATTTGATTGTTCGATCAAAGACAAATATCATCATTAGTTCTCAATCATTTGCAGTAATTTTGAATACATATCATATAACATATGAGTGGGATGTAATAAAAGTTTAACGTCTATATTGGTGTAATATTTTAAGAAGTTTACATTTAACATCTTGATTCATTTATAAAAGGAGGGAAAAGAAGTAATTTCTTGGCCCTGCTAGTTGATCATTAGAAGAAAAAACACCCAATTTTGCAAGGAAAGGATGTGAGGATTTAATTTATTTTGAAAGGTTTATTAGGTCTGTTCATTTTTTATTAATAAGAATTTAGATAGTAAGCAGAATAAAGAATTAACGATTCTTAAAATTTTGAATAAATCGTTAAGCGGTTAACCAATTAAAAATTGAAATAGATTTTTTTTCTGAAGCAAATTTTGAATTGAACGATTTGATTAGTATTCAAATCTCCGAAAACCATTCCAATGTATTAACTTTGTATTAGATATATTATAGATTAGAAATATTAAATTAAAACAGAGAAACAAAATTGAATCCTACAATATAAATTTTTCAAAAGAGGACGCCCATATGACAATTTATATTGAATTAATATGGATAACTTACTTACCAATTTTTCTTATGTCAATTAATTGTTTAGAAAAACAATAGAAATTTGGTGTTATTGAGACTCTCTCAAAATTTACCGAAATTTTTAATACAGTATAAAAATTGTTATATTTACTCATGCATTATGAATAATTAAATTCCGATTTTGAGAATATTTTCTGAATTTAGATTTACAATTTCTCATTAATTATTTTAATATATATACATTAAACAATTAATTTCAATTTTAAAAATTTTTAAATCTTATCTCAATTTTTTATATTACAATTTTTAGAATGTATTCCCAAAAATATAGCCCATATGAAAAACACAAAGAACAGAGAATAATTTTCACTAAGGCTGAAGATGAGAAACTCAAGCGATTAGTCGAAAAAAGCGGAAGGAGGCCGAATTGGAAATCAATTTCAGCCGCAATGAAGACAAGATCGCCGCGACAATGCAGAGAACGTTATCGAAACTATCTAAATCCGAATATTGAACACTCTGAATTCACAAAAGAGGAAGATGAAATCATTTTATCACAATTTGCAGAGCTTGGCAATCAATGGAAGAAAATCTCGGAATCACTTCATGGAAGGACTGGAAATTCAATTAGAAACCGTTATCATTCATTGGTACGACAACAGCAACGTATGAGTCAGCTAAACATCAATTCATATCCTCAAACGCAGAAAAAGGAGATAAAAGCTTCGACCAACGAAAATTCTCAGGAGCAAGCATACAATATTCCTGAATTTTTGCAATCAATGTATATTCCTCTTGACAGCATCTTTTTCGATGATGCTCCGGATAGTAACTAGATTCAAAACCAATTTGTTTTTCTAAACATGTATTATTTGATTGAGTAGGGGTAATTTTAGCTAAAAGTGACACACCCGTAAAAAGTGACACACCCTTCACGGGTGTGATTACCGATCGGTAATTTCGACAGTTTAGAATTTAAAATTTTTTATGGAACTGTTGCGAGTTTCATAAAGAATTTAAGGAATATAAGCAAAGATTTGAATCAAAATCTTAGACCTAAGCCGCTCGATTCGCTCGCGGCTTCCGCGAATTACAGATCAGCAAAGATTTGAATCAAAATCTTCGAACTAAGCCGATCGCTTCGCTCGCGGCTTTCTTTATTATTTTAAATTTGCATATTTCCATCAAAAGTTCATAAGGTAAAAAATTTCGTTTATTTTTACTAAGAAAAAAAAGGTTTTTGATAATAAATTTATTTTATTTCGAAAAAGTAGCAATAATCGTAAAAGGGTATTGATAGGCTTAAAAAAAAAAAAAAGGTAGTGGGGCCTCCAGGCACTTCGTGCCCTCTAGCCCTGAAGATGTTTAGTATAACTTTGTCCGGACAAGCAAGGGTCTATCGTCGCTACAGGAAAAGTTACGGGCGTTCCAAGGAAGTATACTTTGAGAAGCCTTTTCTCCCTTATAGAATGAGATAGGACGGTTATTTTACAAAACTGACAACACTTTGACCGAGTAGTTTTTTGTGCTGAACAAAAAGTGTCATATAAACATCTGTCAAAAACCGCTTTTTAACTTCACTTAAAATGCCACGTAAGCTACGTAAGAATATACGTAAGAGGAAGAGAGCATTGAAACATCCAATAGTAAAACTGACACCACAACAACAGTTGCAACAACAAATGCTGAATGACCCCACTATGTTGCAACAAATGTCAAGCAACCCTATGCTTTTAAACCGAGTTGTTGGTGCACAGAGTGGAGGTTTAAGAGCGGCACTTTTAGCGAAAATGGCAGGCTATGGTGGAGCTGCAGACGGAACAGCCTATAACCCTCAAAGTCAAATGAATTTGAGTTCACTCAAAAATCAAATATCAGATGTCAAAAAGTCAAACATAGACATACAGAAGCAAATAAGTGAAAACGAAAAGAAACTAGAATATGACAGACACACAAAGAAACTCAATGAGTTAAACGTAGAGAAAAAGAAGAAAGAAGAACAACTGAAAGAACTAAGTACAGAGGAATATGCGAAAAAAGTGTCAGAAAAAGCAGCAGAAGTAGCCAAAATGGAACAAGATGTTGTAAATTTGAAAAACCATACTACTCAATATAAAGTACTGAAAGATGAAGAGATAAAACAAAAAGCCCTGAAGACATATATGGATAGCGATGAGTATAAAAAAGAAGTTGAAGCAAATGTAAAGGCAGAAAAACTTTTACAGTTGCAAAACCAAACCGTACAGTATGAAAACTTAGCACAAGAAAGTAAAAATAACGACGCAGCCATGCAAAAGGCAATGAAAAGCGCAGAATATATAAAAGCTAACAATGACTGGTTAGATGCCCAAGCCAACGCCAAAGCAGCCCAGCTTATAGGGTCAATAAGGACAAAAATACAAGCGGATGAAGACAGTTCAAATGAAGCTTTAACAAATGCTGACTTTAAGAACGCCTTCGAAGCTCTTCATAGTAAGGTGAAACAAGTGAACGACTTCTCATCTGGAAAGAAACTGAAGTCTGAAGGTTTCGACAAAGAGTTAAAAGAAGTAGCACAAAATATGACGAAAATAACAGATGCAGCAACGAGACAGGCAGTTCAAAGTGCCTATGACTCCGTTAGAGCAGCTGTTGTGAAAAGTCAAGAAAAAGAGTTACAACAGACCAAAACAGACCTAGTAAATGCTTTCTTAAAAACGAAAAGTCAGGTAGGACATTATGCTGCAGATGGAACATATGTGCCAGCTGGTGGAACTTATATACCAGCTGGTGGAACTTATATACCAGCTGTTGGAATTTATATACCACCAAACCCTCCAAGAGAAGCACCTGCACCAGGACTACCTAAAACATTTACATCGTCACATGGACACAGACACAAGCATGCAACAAAACCAACACAACAACCAACAGTTCAAAATCCAGCACCAAAACCAACACAACAACCAACAGTTCAAAATCCAGCACAACAACAACAACAACAACCAAAACCAACAGTTCAAAATCCAGCACAACAACAACAACCAGCACAACAACCACCTCCACAACCAGCACAGCAACCACCTCCACAACCAGCACAACAACAACCACAAACAGAGCAAGGACATAAAAGAAGTAGAGAACAAGGAAACCAAGATTTCTTAAAAATGCTAAAGGAAGAATATGGTTACCCAGCTACTATTGACTTTAGTGACAGATATAAAGAAGCTATTGGAAAGTTCAAGGAAGGAAATACTGACCCGAACCTATTTGGCTTTATGGCTCAGCACCAAATCGAATATAATCTCAAACCTGGAAAATACAAGCTCGCTAAGGGATATGATTTAATAGCATATCGTCCAAATGACATGAACGAATTTACTCCGAGATATTTGGTGTCAGAGCTAAATGACAATTCAACTCTCTTCATGAAACGCGTAAAAAATAGAGACGGAACGAAAGAAGAAAGGCTTATGAGTCCGGATGACTTAGATAGGGAATTTGTTAAAAACGGTCTCGGAATATATGAAATGCCAGCAGATGAGGTACAAGAAACTCAACAGGAAGAAGTTCAGATACAACCAGACATGGAAGAAATAGTTCAGCAACAACACTAGAAGAGCCTGAAGGAAACGAACAAGTCCCTCCTTTGGAAACTAACTTCACAGAACTAGATGAAGATTTGGAACAGCCGAAAAATCTTGACCTCAACAAGAGTATGAGGTGAATATGGAATCTTTCCAAGAGTCTAAGAAAAATTCGGCTGACAGAGTAGAAGAATATCGAAAAATGTTTGCCGACATACAAAAGACTCCAACACCAGATGAAAATATTCAGCATAGAATGGAAGTACTGAAAGAAAATGTACGCGAATACAATAACCCTTTTTACTTACGCATATAACGTTCAATCTTTGGCTGAACTCGGTGAAAATAAAAGGTTAAATTTCAACAAAACATATAGAAATGAAACATTGTTTAAAGTTCATTCAGAACCTAACCATATGGAAACAAACCTACTTTTGTTTCTGCAGACTATGGAACTACAATGAGATGGGGTCATAAAGCTAACCCGGATAGGTGGTTCATAAACTTACAACCACAATTCCAAGAAGTTGTAGACGCAATGGAAGTGAATGGTGAACCAGATATAGCTGGTATTTTCAGCGCGGCTTTAATGCCATTGAAAGATATGAAAGATGCAGATATTTTGGACCAGTATGAAATGAACATGGCTGATGGAAATATAACACCTGACGTTCTAGAACATTTATCTCAAAGAACTACACAGAACCATAAAGATGGTATATTTGGTGAAGAGTTTAGAAAGAAAGTTAGGGAGAGAGAAGGAAGAGAACCTATTGTACATGACCTTGCAAACGAAAGTTTACAAAATGTCATAAAAACTTACTTTGCAGACAATGAACCGAGAAGGGATGAATATTTAAGTAAACTCAAATGGACAGTACCAAATGAAATGTTAGTATTGAAAAACATGTTCCTTGACAAAATAAAACCAACTACAGAAATAAATGACGCAAGACTGAAAGATTGGGTAAAAGCTTTCCCATTCACAAAAGATATTATTGGTTACATGGAAAGAAAACCAGAATGGCTACAAAAACATATATTTGGAAACGAGCTTATTCCATATGGACAAGCTCTGTTTGAAGAGCTTGAACCGGAAACTCAGGAAAGAGTCATGCAAACAATACGCGAAGACTCAAATACAAACTATGACAAAATCTTTCTAGGATATAGGTTACCTGAGATGGGCGACCAGAGCCCAAAGGCAAAAAGGACATGGGAAATTTACAACATACTAGGTGAACATGAGGCAAAGATGCAACAACTTGAAGCAGAGGGCAAGTTACCAAAAGCGACACCAAAGAAGAAGAGAAGAGTAGAACAAAGTGAAAGTAGTGAAGAAGTAACTTCATCTAGTGAAAGTAGTGGCAATGAAGGAAAAAGAAGAGTTAAAAACTCAGTCAGGAAGAAAGTAAAGCTTGGTACGAGTGGGTTCTATTATGACAAATAAATCCAACTATTCTATATTTTTACCCATATGAAATGTACGCCGCTCAGAATATAACGCCAACAGTTTTGGATGCCATGAACGGAAATGTTTCCGAATGGTATAACGAATGCGACAATGCCATTAGAAGGTCAGAAATAGTTCCTGGAACTTACGAATATACAACTGCTGTTTCTTATGGAAATGTAGGTGAGTTTGGAGAAGGTTCTTCAACAACAGTAGATATTGCTTGCGACAGGTTTCATATAATTTCTATTGACAACTCATTCTTATACGTGGAACAAGACATTGAAATAAAACCTTCTGCCAAGTTGTCTGACAAGAAAGGTTGCAATGGAATTTTCTATGTCGGATACCAATATGCTCCAGAAGTTTTTATGGGATATAAGATATATTCTAACTCTGACTTAGTTCAAACAGTAACATGGGCAAACTATGAATGGTTCGCTTTGAGAAACTCAGTACAACCACAAGCTAGAGAACAAACAGACCAGTATGCCACCATTGAGAAAATAAGAAGACTTGACCCTAACGTTCCAGGAGTTTATGTTAACCTTTCTGGTTCAGATGGAAATGCTGTCACTAAAGTAAAACTGAAACTTAGAGTTCCTTTGTCATCTTTCCTCATCTTCAGGTTTTTAAGATACTTGCCAAACTGGGCAGGAAAAATTTCTATCGAACTTACTCCAAGCAAAAATAACTTAGTCATTGCACCAACACAAGACCCATTCACTATTACTGTAGCTGGAACTGGTGGAGCCAAGTTCTGTGACTTTTGCAAAGACAAAGTTGACTTAGACTTTGGTTTCTCAAACTTCAACACTGAAGTAAACTATTATTTCAATGCTGCTGGAACTGCTTGGGACCCAGTTAAGTTTACATGCGAAAAGTTTGAATGCAAGAGAATAGAAAGCAGACTTGCAGTCTATATGTTGGACCCAGATATTTCAAATGCTTTAGCTGCCAAATATATTGCAGTTCCACTTATGTTCCCTATACACCAAATATCTGTCAAAGACTTTGCAGGTGAAGTTGGAAACCAAAGTGCTGACCCAGGTGCAAGAACAGATATTGCTTTAACAACTGCAATGAAACATGCAGATACTATGTTTGTTCTTTTCAGACGAACTATAAATGACTATTCTTGTTTCTACAACCCCGGTATTAAATATCATATAAACATAGATGGCAAATATTATCCAAGAGAAGAATATTCTACAGTTGAAGATATGAGGTCATACAACTTGACATTAGATGCTATGAACTTTAACAACAACTTCACAACAACCATTAACCCTGAAATGCAAAGTTCTATTATGCCATATGTGAAAGTATGGACCCATACAGGAGGTCAAAAAACTCAATATACAAATGGAGACCGTTCAAACTTTTGGCTTGGCATTCCATTTGCTGACTCAGAAGACTTTATGGGTGGTATTTCAACTGTTGGTACAGTTCAAATACAATATACTGGTGACAGAGACGGTCCAGATGAATTGAAAGCAAAGAAGTTTACAAAACCAATAGCACTTTTCACGGAAGATGCTCTTTTGAAGATTCGTTCGATGAAACCTGCTGGGGCTCCTCAGATTGGCATAACGACAGCTTCCATCGAGCAGATTTTGGCAGCAGGTCAGTAAGTTGTTCTTGAACTGACTTCTCTCCGTCAAATATTGACAGTACGCCAGTTTTGACATAATATTGTATTATAAACTTACCTTTAGAAATATCTGTAAGTTTTGAAGTTATATTTTTGTCTGCTTCAAGAACTTTCACCATTTCAGTTATACCAACTTTCTTTGCTTTATGAAAATATTTTGGTTCAGCAAAGACTGCTATTCTATAACATTTTCCATTGTTTGTGTAAAGAACTATTCTGTCAATGAACTTGTATTGTTTGTGTGTGTAAACTTTGTTTTGCTTCAATTCGAAGAGATACTCAAATACGTCCATCTTTTTATTCTAAGTAAAATGTCATTTCCGAAAAATAGAAGCGTAAGTGTTTCAAAAGGTTTAATGGCGGTGGCAGATGTGAAGTTAAATTCACCAACTCAAACAAACAGTCAAAGTGTTATTGTCAATGTCAAAGAAAGAGATGTTGAAATGGGGAAACCATACGAAGACCAAGATGGTATAACAATAGTTCCTATAAAAGAACAACCAACATACCCTGAAGTTAGCAGAGACTTAAGTTCTGTTGCAGATATTCGAAACGACTACCAACAACTTAAAGACAAACTTCAAACTCAGGAGAAGATTTGTCAAGCTTTAGGTATAATGTTAAACTTGGTCGAACACAACCCTGTAAAAGTGAACTCATATGTCATTGCACCTCATGAAGTTTTGAAAGAACTATTGAAACTTTTGACAGAGGCAGACGATATAAACATCAAAGAAATAGAACCCGACGTTAGTTGCTGTGGTGTTTCATATAATGTCATTGACAAGATATACGTTATGAAAGGAGGTGAAACGTTGAACTTAAAATATAGTTTCCCAGACGTTATAAAAAATATTTGACGACCACAACATTTCATTAAAATTTATTTGCTAAGAAAATGGCAGAAACATAGTGGTTATACTATTACGACTAAAAACCCTGAGTCATATAATTCTATAACAACAAACTTACAAAGTCCTCAAGGACGATATTGTAAACTAACTTTAAACACAATGACGACTAAAGCTTGTTTTGCTCTTTTGACACCAGAAGATTTTATTGTTGTGAATGGTAAAAAATACTCCTTTGAAGATACTTACTCAGATATACCACCAACAGGTTTTGTTGACTTATTTAATACTTTAGGTACGGGTGTAACATGTGCTGCAACTAGAGCAGGTTTCATTATGTTTGGATGTCCGACTGAGTTTACTATAAACAATATGAGCTATAATACAAAACTTATATCTGGTTTTTACTACCAACAGTTTCCTATAACAGGAAAAGGTGTCATACAAGGAATGTCTATTCCATTGACGTTAAGCACACCTATTTTATATATTGTTTCAAACTTAGGTTCAAAGTGTTATTCGAATGTCGACAGAAACTACTATGACCAAAAGATACTCATGCGTATAAATAACACTTTCTCTGCTGGTTTGCCTATTGTTCATTCGAATGCAGAGTTTTCAGCTTTAGTAAACTCAAACACTTTAGCAAACATAAACTTAACCTTAGTTGACGCAAACTTTGTTCCTGTAAAACTTTTATGTCCTATGTATTTGTCAATGACGGCAGAAAGTTTCGAATTGGAAGATGCAACTGGTGAAAGTATTGTATTACAAGAACAACTTCAACAACAAATAGCTCAAGAACAACAAATGCAACAAATGGAACAAATGCAACAAATGGAACAAATGCAACAAATAGCTCAAGAATAAAAAAAATATTTTTTTTTATTTTTATAAAAATGTACAGAATAGATGTTTCAGATTTTTATGACTTCCAAACATTCAGAAATATGTGTCCATTTCGAGACTATAACAAAGCAGTCGAGAATTTGAAACGTTTAGTCATTTATGTCGACTCTGCCCCAGAATGTTATGTTATGAAAAAATGGGATGTAGTCTTTAACAAACCTAAAGCGACAATAGTTTCAGAACAAGAATGTAAACAGAAACTTAAGAAAATAAAAGTCGTACAAGTTGGCATGAAGATGTTAGATGCTTGGGATATCTTATTGTCAAAGTTAGAAGATTTTTCAGTTCGTGGTATAAAGTTTTATACACCTTCTCCAAACTTCTATTCTATCTTCACTGGATATAAATATGAACAAGTAGAATGGAAAGAAAATATTATAGAAGCTTGGTTAGACCATGTCAAAGAAATTATATGCAATGGAAACGAAAGAGTCTATGAGTATATCTTATGTTGGTTTGCAAACATCTTACAACATCCAAGTGCTAAGAATGAAACTGCTCTCATTATAATTGGAAACAAGGAACAGGTAAGAACACTTTCTTTACAGATATCTTATGCAAACTGTTAGAGGGCTATTCGAACCCTAATATGACAAACTTAGAAAACATCTGCGGCAAGTTTAACTCTTCAATAGAGAATATGAAACTTATAGTATGTAACGAACTTCAAAGTATAGATACAACAAAAGTTTTGAACTCAGATGCTTTGAAGAGTCTTATAACAGACAAAGTTGGAGTTGTTGAAAGAAAATATAAAGACCAAGAGAGTTTGTTGAAAATGTTGCAAATTTCATTATGGTTTCAAACAATGCTGTTCCGATGAAGTTAGAAAGTTCTGACAGAAGATATGTAGTTGTCAGAACGTCAGAAGCTCATATGCAAGATACAGAATATTTTGACGCTTTGTCAGAAACTTTGACATCTGACTTTTACAACACTTGTTCTCATATTTCATGACATTAGATATTTCTAAGTTCAATCCAAGACAAATTCCACATACCGAAGAGAGACAAACATTGTTAGAAGCAAACAAGAGTGTATATGAACTGTTCATAGATGAAACTGACTTTGAGTGTTTAGATGAAAGGTCATTGTACGATTCGTATAAACAGTATTGTCAAGAATATGGTTATATGACAGCGTCTAAACGAACATTCTTGGCAAATGTCAAAAGTCTTTTAGACGTACAGAATGGTGTATATACAAAGAAAAATTTTTCTGAGTAAATTTAAAAAAAATTTTTTTTTTATCCGATAGAAAAGATGACAGAAAAATTAACTTTTTACATAGCGCCAGACCCTTCTTGCCCACATCTTTTTAAGCCACAATATATAGACATAGAACTAAATAGTGAAGGCGAAATTCTACAAACAGAAGAAAGCGAAATTCCACAAACAGAAGAAACATATAGAGACCTAGATAACGAAAATGGATATGCGCTATTCTGGTTAGATTGTCCTTATGAAATGTATGAAAAAAAGGCTTTATATGAAGAATATAGAAAATATTGTCATGAAAACGATATAAGACCAAGCTCTAGAGAAAAATTCTATGCTGGTATAAACATCTTTTCGAAGTTCGGAATGGCAAATATAGAAAGAAATAATTTTTCTGAGTAAATTTTAAAAAAAAATATTTTTTTTATCCGATAGAAAAGATGACGAAATTCATCTCAGTAAACAAGTACATGTCAGGACTTAAAGAAGAACTAGACCCATTCACATATTTGAATGTTTACTTCTACCATTTTGAAAAGTCTTCATTCAGCAAAGTTTGGAACATCGAACCAGTTAAGTTTGCTATTGTGACTAAAAATGGTGCGAAATTTGAAGACTTAGACATAGAAGGTTTGTTAGCAGTCAAAGAAAGTTTTGACAGAAGGTTTTCAAACCTTAAAGAAGGCAAAGCATACAAACTTGTTATACCTTATGAACCAAAGAAAGCAGACGACTATGAATATTATGAGTCTAAGATAGTTGAAGTTCAAGGTAAATTGGGTAAAAAGATTTTAGAGTCTAAGCCAGTGTTTACTCCTAAAGAGGAAGAGAACATTGACATTGACCCAGAAATGTTCTAAAAATAAAATTTTATTTTTACATGTCATATCTCCCTTCTCTGGCTCTGGTTCTTTCTTCTCTTCTTCTACTTTCTTTTCTTTCTTTTCTCTCTTCTTCTTTTCTGGTGGAGTTATGTCAAACTTCTCAGAACCATATTTTTGTAAAAGTTCTTTGTCCTTTAATAGCTCTTCTATTCTGTTTCTATTTCATCTTCAAGAACAGCGCATGTGTCTTCTTTGCATTCTAAGAAGTTTTGTTGGACTTCATCTCTCCAAGAGGCGTCATCTCTGTCAACAAGTCTGTCATTGACAAATTTTAAGACTTCTCTGCTTAATGTTTATGGTTCTTGTCATATTCCCAGAAACAGAACTTTAGAACAAATTCACCTTTCTTGTTTACACTATGTAAGATTTTATGGTCGACAGATGTTTTGCTGTCGAAAAGCTTGTCTCGAATATAGATAGCGAAATCGCTAGACATTTTCTAAAAGATAAAATTTTTAATTTTTTAAAAATATGTTAGAAAAAAAGTTTGCTGACATTGACAAGAAATTTGAGAATGTTTTAAACAAGAACAAGGTGAAATTAGAAAATGCTCAGATAAAACCCATACATGACAAGTTCTTATTTGCTCAGAATGGTATAACAGGTCTAATTGCACCGCCTGGGTCGGGTAAGACTTTCACTTATCTTAAAATGGCTGCACAACAACAAGAACTAGATGAGAAGAACCCATTCTATGAGTTAGTTGTTATTTGTAGTACTTCTGGTCAATTTGACCAAACCGTCAATTCGTTCAAAGATATTATAAAAAAGTCTAAGTTAGTATGTATAAAAGACTCTGAGTTGTTAGATTGGATAAAGAAGTACCAAAGAAGAGTTTTGAAGTACAATGCTATAAATGAGTATATAAATTCTAAGTTTAAAGACCCAAATGAGGAAATGCAGAGAATATTAGAGAAGAAACACTTCAGAAACAAACAGAAAGAGATAGAATACATTTCGAAGAAATTGCAATCTTACGATTGGAAGACTTACCCTCACAGATGTCTTCTTATCTTAGATGATTTCGCCTCTCATCCTTTGTTAAAGAACAGAGAACAAGACATGTGTCGAATTCTTAAGAAGCTCAGACACTTTAACATCTCTGTTGTCATTTGTGTACAGACAGCAAAGAGTTTAAGTAAGGATGTAAAGAGAATACTTACTGACATTGTACTTTTCCCCGGATTGTCCGAAGACGATTTCATGGAACTTATGAAAGAGTCCATGGCAGGTAAGTTTGACAGACATGAACTATGGGAGAAGTACAAAGTCATACAAGACCCTCATACTTCTTTCAGAATTCATATCTACGCAAACAAAGTTCAAATTGTAAAAAGTCAAGCTTGAAAAATGTAAGTGTTTCGTCTTAGTCTGTTGTGGTTCTGGGGCTGTCGGTTCTTCTGGCTTTGGAAGACATTCAGGAAGAGGAACGTCAGTCCTCCGTTTGTGTCCTGTCGGATGGAAGGACTCGGAATGCCAGAAGGAAAAACTTTTTCTGTTGGAAGGAAAAACTTTTCCTGAAGTTCGACCAAAAAGTTCTCAATTTTCGAAAATTTGAATGGTTTACGGACGAACAACAGGAAAAATTTTTCCAGTTGTCGGGAAAATTTTTTCCAGTTGTCGGGAAAATTTTTTCCTGCCAGATGGAAGGACTCGGAATGCCAGAAGGAAGGACTCGGAATGCCAGAAGGAAGGACTCGGAATGCCAGAAGGAAGGACTCGGAATGCCAGAAGGATTTGACAAGACAATTTACCTTATAGAGCTACCTGAGCCATCTGAAGTCAAGCTTGAAAAATAAATGGTTCATCTACTCTACTTGTTTGAAGTTGTCAAAATACTCTGTTATTTTTTCCTTTAACAATGACAAATCTTCTTTGAAGGTAAGTATTGTACAACCTTTAATATCATAGTGTGTTTGAGGTAAAGTATCTTGAACTATTTGTTTCACATCTTCATTTGGGGTCATTGAAATCGGTAAGTTTTCGCGATAGAACCAATTTCTGTCAGATTTGTAAATCTTAGCTAAGTCGTAAAAGCTTTTGTTGTTTCTTCTGACTAAATGCAACATAACCATATCTCTGTCTTCTTCATTTTCCATCTCTTCAGTATAAATCATATACTTATAGTTCTTTTCCTTTCCTTTTGGTACCGAACGTGGTATTCTTTTCTGTATGTTTTTGTCTTCTTTCATCATATCTTCTCTCTGCTTTGTACAAAGTTCGTCAAGTAGCATAAGTATGTAGATTGCATAACGAGGTGAAGCCCACATTGCTATTGAACTAACTAGGAACTTATGAACATATATACCTTTTAGATGTGATGGTAAGTTTTGTCTGTCTTGGTACATCTTTTTAAGTTCTACATGTTCGAACTCACTGAGGAGTTCATGAGTGCTATTTAATTCAAACCAGTCTTGTGGTTTCTTAGTATCTGGAGCAAAACATGCTGTCAAAATACTTTGCATTTGGTACATATCGTCTTTGACCGAACGAATGAGACGGAGTTGTTTGTTTAACTGAACCCACTCATATTCTTCATTTATGGCTTCATGAACGATAGCAGTTGTTGTGTTCTCTGTTGTTGTCATTTCTGTCTTTACATACAAAATAAAAAAAATATTTTATAAAAAACTAGCGTTATTTTCTTACTTTCACAAAAGACCAAAAATAAACGCTTTACATGTATTTTTCAGCAACTTCGTCAAATAATTTTATAGCTTTACCTATCTCATCTACTTCAAACGTTTCTTTACCTTTCGTGGGAGCACCATACATTTTCTCAAACTTTTCAAGTAGTTCTGTTTCAGCAGCTCTCATATCGTTAACAAACACAACCTTGACTCTATTGACTATACTGTCATATCTTTGAGTTATATTATATGTTCTTCCTATCTTATATCTCTTTGTATTGAAGTCCTTCGGTTTCTGAACGATGTAAAGTAAGCCTTCACTGCAACGTTCCGTATCGAATGAACCATATGTTATGAAGTTATATCCAACAACTGGGTCTAACCATAACAAAACTATTGGTATAAGACTTTTGTCTATAAGATATGCTGCAGTTCCATAGAATCTTACCGATATCATAAGCTCAGGATTTCTTGTCAAAATTTTCTGAGTAGAAGCATTTTTAACCCAGTCGTGGGATGTTTTCTTTCCAAATGGTGTTAGAATGTCTGACAAAGAATATTTCTTGTATTTCTTTGAGTATCTTACGTTTAAATCACCTACTCTAACCACTTTGGTGTCATTGTCTATCTTTCTAACTGTTTCAAACTCAGTGTTTGTCATTTTCTGTCTTTACATACAAAATAAAAAATATTTTTTTAAAAAAACTAACTTTATTTTTCTATCTTGTATAAAAGATATGATTTCAGGGATTTTTTTGACGAAGTGTCAAAGTTCTCTTCGTAAAAATATAACAGTTATATAATGAAATTTGGTCATTTTTTTACGATTTTCATAGAGTTTTAGGCGAGTAAGATTTTCTATCTTGTATAAAAGATATGATTTCAGGGATTTTTTTGACGAAGTGCAAAAGTTCACTTCGTAAAAATATAACAGTTATATAATGAAATTTGGTCATTTTTTCACGATTTTCATGAGTTTTAGGCGAGTAAGATTTTCTATCTTGTATAAAAGATATGATTTCAGGGATTTTTTTGACGAAGTGCAAAAGTTCACTTCGTAAAAATATAACAGTTATATAATGAAATTTGGTCATTTTTTCACGATTTTCATGAGTTTTAGGCGAGTAAGATTTTCTATCTTGTATAAAAGATATGATTTCAGGGATTTTTTTGACGAAGTGCAAAAGTTCACTTCGTAAAAATATAACAGTTATATAATGAAATTTGGTCATTTTTTTACTGTTTTCATAGAGTTTTAGGCGAGTAAGATTTTCTATCTTGTATAAAAGATATGATTTCAGGGATTTTTTTGACGAAGTGCAAAAGTTCACTTCGTAAAAATATAACAGTTATATAATGAAATTTGGTCATTTTTTCACGATTTTCATGAGTTTTAGGCGACTGGTTTTTTTTACTACTCGCAATTTTTCACGATTTTCGAATGGAATCTCTATCCTCTTTTTTTCATGAGGGTCACCAGGTCACTCGGTCCCTCGGTCAACTAACATCTTTTTGAAAATGGTGACAACATGACATTTTGACAACAACACAGGAAATAAACTTCATCGTATATGTTTTGTCATGACTTCATCGTCAATGAGCGTAAATCAGACAAAAATATATTTTAGGTGCTACCATGCTACCATGTGCTACCAGGTCAACTAACATCTTTTTGAAAATGGTGACAACATGACATTTTGACAACAACACAGGAAATAAACTTCATCGTAAATGTTTTGTCAAGACTTCATCGTATATGTTTTGTCATGACTTCATCGTATATGTTTTGTCAAGACTTCTTCGTACATGTTTTGTCAAAACTTCTTCGTACATGTTTTGTCAAAACTTCTTCGTAATGAGCGTAAATCAGACAAAAATATATTTTAGGGTAGATGGTGAGATCTCACCTGTTTTCTCACCTCTTTTCTCACCTCTTTTTCACAAGCGTCTTACATGAATTGTACGATGTATATTTGAAATCCTAAACAATTTCGTAGCTTCGATTTCTTCTTTTAGTATGTCAAAAGTTTTCACAATGCCGAAAGTTTCTTTATATTTCTTCTTGACATCTGAAAGAAGGAAATCGTCAGCTGTTGGATAGTTTTTGTTTAGAAATGTCAACATGTCCATTTTATTTTCTGCTGGTTTCTCTGCTTCTTTCTTTAAGTCAGCATAGTCGTTTCGCATACGTTCTATCTCTTTGACAGAATAGTTATATTTCCTCATTGCTGCTTTACATTTAGAACATTGTGGGTTCATTTTAGCATTGTACATTGAAATTTGAACTGCAAGTACAACTATAGCGTCAATGGTTTTCTTTAACTCAAAAGTTGCTGGTTTTATTTGTTCGTTCCATACTTTACCTCTTTTATCTTTATCTCTTATCTGCCATACACATTTTGCAACTAACGAAACAAAGTTGTCGTAGGTCTTAAACTCCCCAGATTTATATATGTCAGAAACATTCTTATATACCATATCGCAGTCTTTGTCCATGACTTTGTGGTTGCAATGAAATCCAAGAAACTCATAGTTACTCTTACGTATGAACTTCTTTATTTCTACTGAGTCGGTTGGTCTGACTTCAATTTCATCGAATTCTGGAATAGTGAGCTTTTGTTGTTGTATTTCAGGAAGTTTAGGTAGATGGTCAATAATATCCTGCATGTCATAAAGATATTCTTCATTTGTTTCATCTTTCGCACTACAGTCTAAATCTCCTTGGAGAAGTTCTTGCTTTATCTTCTGGATTTCTGTTTCGAAAGTATATGAAGAAGGAATGAAGCTTTTCATCTCTACTAACATTGAAGTTGGGTTCATGACTAACGAGTTTGGTGAAGTTGTTGCTAACATGTTCTTACAATAAAAATAAAAAATATTTTTTTAAAAAAACTAACTTTATATTTTATTTCGGGAAAATTCATGAAAATTCAACGGGTGAGAAAAGAGGTGAGAAAACAGGTGAGATCTCACCTCTTCACCTAAAATATATTTTTTGGTCCGGGAACAACAAAATGAACGAGTTTTGGTTGAAAAATACGGTGGAGCCAAAAGTGGCTCGACCTCAAAACAAGCATTTTGTGAAGAATATACCAACCCGCGGAATTCCGCGGGTTGCTTTTATACAAAATTCAACGGGTGAAAAAACAGTACAAGACTAGTTCTGAGATCTCACCACTTCACCTAAAATATATTTTTGCCGAATTCAATAAAAAGAAATGGTTCATTTACTCACAATATTTTTGTACAAAACGACCCCAAACTTTTAACTTCTTTTCTGCAGCTTCTAATGAAATTTTAGCGAGTTCATATTCTCTAAATTCTCTCTTTAAATCTTCTTGTTCCCATTGGTCTAGTTCGTATGGAGAATCTCTATAACCATAACACATCTCATGTTCATGTTCTAAATCTTTTTCGCACATTTTTCTAACTTCTTGTTCGAACAAAGGTTTTGCATTCTCTACTGTATCTTCAAGTTCTTCTTCATCTAATTTCTCATGAACTTTCTTGTCTATGGAGTCCAGAATTTTTCCAACTGCTATGCAATATTTTGGAGAAGCCCACATTGCTATATAGTTTACAAGTCTTGGGTCTACATACGTTCCTCTAACCTGTTTGATTTCATCCGGAATTCCTGCATGAATTTTGTATAAAAAGCAACCCGCGGAATTCCGCGGGTTGGTATATTCTTCACAAAATGCCTTAAAATACTCTTCCCAGGACTTATTTTCCAACAACCTTCTAAAGTCTTTCCTAAACTGCTGACACATCTTTGTTGCATTTATATAACCATCCTTGTCTCTACGTAAGACTTCAATACCGTTGTAAGTGCCTTTTGTGAATGTTTCGCCATTAGATTTGTTCGTGAACGTTTTTGCTTCGACTGTCATTTCAGTTCTTACAATAAAAATAAAAAAATATTTTTGGGTGGTACGTCGGACATTCGTTTGTGGCTTAACCGTCGGACATTCGTTTGTGGCTTAACCGTCGGACATTGTTCTGAAAAAGTACAAGTCTTGTTCTGAAACAGTGCAAATATTGTCTTGAAACAGTACAAGACTAGTTCTGAGATCTCACCACTTCACCTAAAATATATTTTTGGGTCTTTTACGCTCATTACGATGAAATCATGACAAAACATTTACGAAGAAGTCATGACAAAACATATACGATGAAGTCTTGACAAAACATTTACGAAGAAGTCTTGACAAAACATTTACGATGAAGTCTTGACAAAACATTTACGTTCATGTTTGACAAAAACATATACGATGAAGAAGTCTTGACAAAGCATTTACGAAGAAACCTTGACAAAACATATACGTTCATGTTTGACAAAAACATGTACGATGAAGTCTTGACAAAACATTTACGAAGAAGTCATGACAAAACATATACGAAGAAGAAGTCATGAAAATTCAACAGGTGAGAAAACAGGTGAGAAAAGAGGTGAGATCTCACCACTTCACCTAAAATATATTTTTGTCTGATTTACGCTCATTACGATGAAGAAGTCTTGACAAAAACATGTACGATGAAGTCTTGACAAAACATTTACGAAGAAACCTTGACAAAACATATACGTTCATGTTTGACAAAAACATGTACGATGAAGTCTTGACAAAACATTTACGAAGAAGTCATGACAAAACATATACGAAGAAGAAGTCATGAAAATTCAACAGGTGAGAAAACAGGTGGAGAAAAGAGGTGAGATCTCACCACTTCACCTAAAATATATTTTTGTCTGATTTACGCTCATTACGATGAAGAAGTCTTGACAAAACATGTACGATGAAGTCTTGACAAAACATTTACGAAGAAGTCATGACAAAACATATACGAAGAAGAAGTCATGAAAATTCAACAGGTGAGAAAACAGGTGAGAAAAGAGGTGAGATCTCACCACTTCACCTAAAATATATTTTTGTCTGATTTACGCTCATTACGATGAAGAA